TTCTTATGTTTGAAATAGAAATCTGTTATTTTAAATGACATATCATAAGTTTGTTTTACATAATGAATTTACCTTTAATTGATCTTCTCTATAATTTTTATTGTGTCACCCACTCCGACTATATTCAAGATTTATTTTATCTTCTTAATTTTTATTCTGTTTTTCTGTTATCTAATTTCTTAACTTTATTATTCTCATTTTTAGAATCCCTATCTCTCATTGATTTTATTCTTCTTCCATGGCAAACTGATCTATAAGGTAATTGCTACCACCTATTTATAATTTTTCTATCTGGTGATCTTTATTTTAAATTTATCACATATCTTTTTCCTATTATCAATTTCTGTTATTGGAGTCCATTTATGCAATTTATTGGGCTTATAATTCTTGTTACAATATTTGATCTTGCATCTGTTTCATTACCACTTATATCTTTTCCCCTCTATCAATTTCTCAATCTTTATGATTCTATTGAGATTGTATCTTATCTCTATGGCTATTACTATTTCATTCCATACAATTTATCATTAATCATACATATTTTAATGAGTATATGATTTATTCGTCTATTCTCTTTGTAGGTTTCGTAGGTTTAGTAGCTAGAAAACTTGTATTATTAATTTTCTGAGCTTTTCTGATACATCATATTATGTTTATATTTTAATTTTTATATTAATTCTGTCTGGGAAATTCTTTAAATTTTTTTAATAAATTTGTCCATGCAATATAATTTGTAGAAGTAATCCCATTATATATCGATAAATGAGAATTACAATAAATAAAAAGATAGTCTAAAAAATATTTTAAGTTATATCCTTTAATTAAATTTTTTTAAAATAAACTGAATAAAATCTAGAAGAAATCAAATTTGGAATCATCCTCAATGTATAAATAACACTCTAACCATTATTAAAACCTTGATTCCTTCTTCTAGATTACTAACAAAATTATTTATATTTAGAATTGCTTGCTACTTTGTAACAAACATGAGCATATCTTAATCGTCATCAAGCCTTGGAGCAAACTTCTCATCACTTCTGAAATAAATTTATATTTCTACTAAAATCTTTTATTCTAAGTAAAAAATTAGGGGTTTATCTATAGTTTTCTTTTCAAGATTCTCAATTGATCTTTCTCTATTTTTCTTGCTTGACAATAGCTATTAGGGATGCTATTTTATATAGCAGTCATGTTGATTCAGAATTTTCTAAGATTTTCTCATCCTTTGAAAGTCTAATTCAGTGTAATAGTTTTTTAATTTTATTTTTATTACTTTTCTTCTGCATAAAAAATAAAGAGTAGAATCTTTTACATAAAAGAATCCCCTTCTTAATTATGAAACCATTAATCTTCAACTATAGGATTCTATATTCATCCAATTGCTTTGAATGAAAGTTCAGATTTCTATCAGTTATTTTCTAAAAATATACTTCTGTTTTTATTATTTTTTTATTTAAGAGAGGAAAAAATTTATAAACAACTGAATTCATTATCTAAATTAGATTAATAAAATATAGTATAACTAAAAATATTTTTTAAGCTTTCCAAAATTTGATTGGTTAGATCTTCTTAAAAATTATTTCTTAATGTTCGCTTCTAAAGTTAAAGCATTTAAAATAATATTGTTAACAATATTTTTACTTAATACTTTCGTCCTAATTAAAAAGTTATAACAGAAATTTATATTTTTCCTTATAGTAAAATTGCTCAAGCAAAAACAGATGTTTAGTGGAAAAATGTTTTTTACTTTTTTTTTCAGAAATTAATTATAATAATATTGGGTTAAAACTGTCTTATTTTATTACTAAAAATATTTTACAATAAAAATTTAACGGGATAAAATAAATGGTTAGATTATTTAAGTAAATAATAAAAGGATTCGACAAATTATTTTATAATTTTCTAATATTAGAGACCCTCTAAATAAAGGGTGGCCGAATTCAAAAGCTTTGAAAATTTATCAAAAAATGTAAAAGAACAGCAGCAATGATTATATACCTCTATAAGTACTTTTTTATATCTTTGTGTTAATGGGATTTTTTAATAGTTAAACATATAAATTTTTAAACAAAGACAAATAAGTATTATTTTTACTAAAAGGTTCCTAAATGTTTTCCCTAATTTTTTACACTTTTTAGGTGAATTATGGTTATTTATTTCTCATCAAAATTGTGAATAAAAATTAAATATCTAAGCTATTGTAAAAAATGACATCAACTACTAAAATCAATTTTATATTGTTTAATAAGTGTTTAAATGTTATCTGAAAATAACTTTACAAATTGAGTATAAATATATTAATCTTTCGTTAATTGAAAATGATAAAGCAAATGGAAATTATAATTATTATACAAGGAAAGTGAGAATTGAAAGAAGGAAGAATTTTGGATGTTTAATGAAAGAGCATTTAAAGACATAGAAGATGAACAAATAGTTCCATCGAATTAGTATAGCTTTGAGGGAAAGAAATAATTTTACAGTTTAGACATATTTGTAAAGATAAGTTCCATGCCCATTTTTATAAATTAGAGTACAAGTATAGTTAGAAGGATTTTTAAAAGAGTTATGATGTAACTTAGGAATATATAAACGTTCAGAGATACCATTTACTTTTACTTAGTTGAAATAGGCTGAGAAAATTGACTTCATTCATCATCTCTTCTTCCATATTTCTTTTCTTTCACCAATAATCTTAGAGCCATGCATTTGAAAGAACAATTACTCTTTAATAGACTAACGAAATTCTGTATCAGATAAATTGATCACTTCTTTCCATTATGATGATCCAAAATCTGCTCTCCTATACACTTCTGCTTATCTATGCAAATAAATCAACCTGTCCTAAATTTAAATCGTAAATATTCTAATCACTGTTTAATTAAAATTTCCAACCTATTGTAATCTGTAAGATAAACTCCCTTCTATTTAATCCATATATATAAATACCATCCATATATTCCATTTAACATTCCTGCTTCTTTCATATACCCATAATATTATATTATTATTATATTTAAAATAATTCATTAACTCTTTATCCATTAATTAATTTGATTCTTATTGACTGTAACCTCCCATCTATTTATTTTACAACAATAAATTTACCCTAAATAAATCCCATAAACACATCTTCAAATGACCCACTACAAATCTTTTTGCCCAATCTGAAATCATACACATATCTAACTGTATTTTAAGAGATTTTGACACCAGAGGAGCTGGTTTCCTTATTCTAAATCCTTAAGCAATTTTATGGTAAGGAAAATAAATTATTCATCTTGATTTTAATTGTTTTCATAAATTATCAATTAGATGTGATAAGCTTGAAAAAGGTTTACAAATTCTTAACAATCAAATTTATTTCTACTTTCACTTTAATTTAAAGCACAACTTTTGTAATTACAAGATATTTCGGTAAATTATTTTTAAATCGCTTTTTTTCGCCATTTACATTTAGAGAGAAGAATTCTGCATTCTTCCTCATCTAATTTTTTTTAATTTATCTGGGACTCTACTAATTTTTAAAGGTCGCTTATATGATCCAAATATAAAATGGATTCATTATGGCATTAATTTGCTAGTAAATAGTCTTATGCTCACCAAATTTCCCATTTAAAAATCTTATTTCCAAATATCATTAAAATTTTCAAGTAATTCATTTTCCCTTTGAAATTAAAAAGGAATTTGAAAATATAAAAATTAGATTATAATTATTCTTAATTGTAACTAAATTCTTTTAATCTGTAACTTAATAAAGTGGGCATTAAATTTTCAGAATCTGTTTTATTACCCTTAGCTATTTTTTATTTTATGAATTATATAAATTATATACTTATATGTTTGAAAAATCTTTTAATTATATATTCTCTTTGATAATATTAAATAGAAAAAATTTAAAATATATTAATTACATCCAGGAATTGTGAATAAATTCTTCTTAATTATTATAGTTTTTCTAATCCAAAAGATTAATAAAATCATCTTACATGTATTCTCAACAAACAATTTCCAAAAAAAACCTTTTTTTTGTTTTTTATAAAATTATAAACCTACTCAAATAGACATAATAATTTCTTTGAATTCAAATTAAAAACAGATATGGAGATAAAATCAATTTACTTCCATGCAATAATAAATGAAAAGATTAAACATCATTGTCAATGATTTCAAATATCTCCTTTTTTATTTAATTATGAGTTTTAAGATATAATGTAAAATTTTAAAAATGATTTTGAAGAATGAATAATAGATTAACAACCTAAGTATTAATAATTATAAATTTAGCAATTTAGGTAAAAGTTATTGAAAAATTCTAGCTGAAGGAACTCAAGAATTTTATTTGTAAACTGAATGAATTAAACAGATATAAACTAAAAACATTACTGTTTTAGTTCCATTAATATATATAGGCTTGTGATCATAGGTTTATAGAACATCAAAAATGAAAAATAATGACAATAAAAACATCTTAAAATCAAAATTAAATCATTATCATGATGATTTATTTCAAATTTTTTAATCAAGAGGATTAACTATTGATATGAAATAATTTTTAAAAATATCAAAGGTAATATAAAAAATTGGAGTTTATAAACTGCAACAGAATAAATAATAATATTTATATAAATTA